TCGGCATGTGTTTTCCAAACGCCAAAATTTTCAGGCCCGTTAGAGGAAAAAGGTAGTTAACTGCTCATCTTTCCAACACGTGCTAAAAAAGCGGGTTCCATAACGGAAGTGTAAGGCCCTTGGAGAAAAAAAAAAAAAAAAAAACCAAAGCAGACCTTTAAAAGTGCACACGTGGACGAACCGCCTCTGTCCCCCCAAGGCCGCGTCGTGCGTGCAGGATAAGGAATTCCCATGACGACGACCCAACGCCGAGGATAAAAAGCGAGAGAGGCCCCGCAGTCATATACGTGCATCTTCCTGTGCGCAGCTTCTTTTTTTCTCCGCAGCGCGTGCGCTTGGTTATCTTCGCCGACGCTTTCTTACGACACAACATACTCTCCCACAGTTTTTCTCCTCTCGTTCGCATTACCTACATGCGTGCCGGTGCTCGTATATGTATACACGGTCCCAGTCTGGTCTCGGTAGCTGCGACGTATTTACGAGCAGCGCGACACGCGCCCATATCCACGTATACATACATGCGGCCGCAGTCACTTTTACAGCTGTTAAATATCTTTATGATTAATAACGCTCGACTGTTTTGCGAGATTTACGGCGGCGTTAAAAAACGAGACCCGCGGAGGGGCCCTCTTCGAGAGCGAAACGCGGCATTCTTCGCGCGTCCGAGGAAGATTAAATGGTTTTTAATTGTTCGCCTGCTTGTCTCTCTCTCTCTCTCTCGCCGGCCGGTTTGTTAACCTCGTTATGGTGTTTTATTACCACGAGCGTTGAATGAATGCATTGCTCTCTCGCCTGGATTTTCCCGAGAGCGAGCTTTGCGCACATATTATATCGTATGCTCGCGTGCATATATTTTGTGTGATGTTATAGTGTACTGCACTCGGTACCTACTACTTTGTTGTTTACTCAGCAGATGTAATATTAATTAACTTTTCACTTGCTGTGATTTACCCTCTTTCTATTTTTCCTTCTTTGTACGAGCTTTTTTTTCCCATTTGTTTGTCCCAAAAAAGGATACGCCGATCTATATCATCATTCTTTGGTCACATTGTATTTTTTGTTTTGTGTTAACATCAATGCACACAATACTCGAATAGCCTTAGTTACTTGTTTTTATCCATGCGTACATTTAAATTAAATCCTGTCTTGATTAAATGACTGTTTATTATATTTAATTTATGATGTTACAAACAATTTTATACAAATAAATATTTTGAACAAAAACAATTCATTCGACTAAAACTATTAATGGTGCAATCATAGTCTCGTTACGACTCCAAATGCAAACATTATCGAGAATATGACATAAAAGAATGTACAAGCTACCGGGGAGACAGACCCCGTGACATATATGGACAGTATATCGTGCCGAGGCCATTCTAATGAGTAGAGGCCATCATCGTCGCGCCGCCGTTCGTGACGTCACCCGGAGCTACGAGTTATGGCGTCACGTGACTCCACCCTCTTTTCAATCACCTTAGGAGCCGAACCCACCCAGCTGTCAAGCTACGCTCCACCCAATTTTTCCCCCCTCGTCTAGGCACGCGCACGCACACATATTATATGTATAGAGACGATTAGCGTCAGAGGGGCCCAGTCGATATCGCTCCCGCCATCTGACGAGCGCACGCCGAAGCCTCTCGATCCTTCAACTTTTGACTTCTTCTTCTCCTTCGTCTTCGTGCAGGGTTTGTTGTTTCTCCTGTCGATGCCGCCACTTGACGTCCCTGTGCTCCCTGGGCCCTCCACCCGCGCGCACAACGGCTGTCCCCTTTTTTGTCTGCATTTTGATCGAGAGTTTACCTTTTGGTGGCTTGTTTTATACTTACTCTACACTAGGTAAACAATTTATAATTTTACCATTTTTAGTTTGAATCTCATTGGGTGGGAAAGAAGGTTTGTTGATTACAATCGTTTCGAAAGCACAAAAAATTATTAATGCAACAGCGTTGACATTATTTATGCACGTTAACAAAGCTCTAGCGTATCATTTCGAAATATGTAAAACAATAAAGCTTAGAATAAAAATTCGAAGATTGTCGTATGATATGTCAAAGAATGTTACATTTGTTTGGCGAAAAATTATTTATAAATACAAGTGCTCATGGATCATTAACTTTGTGTCGGTCGAAGTGTTATGTTAGTTTTTTAGACGTTATAATAATGAAAAATTTTACACGAAACTGTTCCTATCATAACTTTTGCGTACATGTATTATATCAGTATAAACAGATTTTCTTGGTGTTCTCACTGCAAATGTGTAACATTGTTTAAAGTAAAGCTTGAATTCATAGTATCTTTTAGAGTTTAAGTCTGCCTCTCCATCAGTTACCCCACATAGGCGGATGATCAATCATAATATAGTACGAGACTGTTGTCCCTGTGTTTCATGACGTACTGTATAATAGAAAGCTAAAGAAGTAGAACCTTATAATTTCTACAGTTGCATTGCATAAATTAGATTATTTTGGAGTCTTAATTATGACGAACAATCATACACACATATTTATTTACGAAAACCGAGAACAATTATAACAGTGAAATACTTACTCTTTGTTATGGAAGAAAAAACTCTGAATTTCGTTCACGTGCATACATATGTAACATTTTTCAAACAAACAAATTTTTTTACAAACAATTCTACAGAAAGATTAGATTTTTTTTTTTTTATAATGCATAAATTGTAGAAGTTACAGAAGATGACAAACCTGAGAGGTATAAAAAAATCAACTCTTGATTAATTAACCTAAACCAAACAAAACCTTCAACGAGCAACAATTATCGACTGCTCATTATTTTTGTCCAATTAAACGAGCTCGCAGAGATATACTCTGTAAGTCGCACTCTTATTTTATATATAAAAAATCCGGAAGATTCTTCCTCGAGTCAATGGGCCACATATACTCGTAATAAGGGCAAAGTTAGAGGAAGCATCGCCGGAGAATCGAGTTGAGACCCCGAGCCGGGAGAGGCGGTAAAATTTATTCGCGTACAGCAGCAGCCACGGCGTGGAATCGCTATCGGCGGCCATTCATCAATCCGTGGAATCAATACGCCGGAATTAATGAAAGCGCCGCCGCGCGAACACAGCGAGGCTACCGCCCGGAATGTTAATCGCGATATCGAGCGGACCCGCTTTCCCTCCCCCCCGCACGCACACGCAAACTCCCAAGAGGTCCTTCCGCCACCGCTGACGCCTCCCCCGCGAAAACGGCCCTTCCTCCTCCTCCTCTTGTTTCTCCGCGGTGCGGGCGCGTATACACCTACAAAGGACGAAGGGAGCTTGCACGCGTGCGAAAGCTCGCTTATCTGGCGCAACTGCTGCTGCTGACTCGTTCTCTCGTGCTTGTGCTCCCGTTGTGGGTGCACGACAATGGGAAAGGGTCGACGTGCACGGCGGGTTCGGGGGCATTCAATTTTCACGCTGGCTTATCGTCCTTTTCAATTCATCGGGTTCTTGCGGTAGCCATTTCACACATGTATACCTGTATATATGTATGTGTGTACGCCACGGGCTTTGCGCCGCCTGTCGATGTGCGTGCGTGTATCCCGTATGTGGGGCGCCCCGTTGTTTATGGGGTGTCTGAGGGCTCGCGACTTTATCGGAACGCAATGTATTTCGCCCGCGTGGGAGAGAAATCTCCTCGCCCACGCTACTTCTCCGTGTTTCCCGCTGATACCTTTGGTGTCCTTTTTTTTTTTTTCTCAATCATTCCATGTTCTTGATATGTGTGTTTTTTTTTTTTTTTTTAATATATGTCTCAGTAGCGTAGGCCATTGTTCATATTTAGGAAATTTTTGTAATTTTTTTCAGCTCACTTAAATTCTTATCCTATACGAACTGACAGCGACCTACGATATCGGGAGAGTTTCGAGTCCTTCGGCGATAATGAGCCGAAAAAAGGATCCAAATAATACATATGTATGTATATCAGCCGAAGGATGACTCTACAGTCGGTAGGGAAGGAAAAAGCTCGTTCTTTCGAGATCATCTTAAAGGTGACCTAAAAAGGATGTACCCGCGTCGATCGGTTGATTATGCCTTGCAAACCTGTTTTACATAAACTTACAACTTGATGTTTGATACGTTTTATTTGTATCTACCACACGTGTACACAATCACTTGAATGAATTTTTGTACGAATGAGATTGCAATAAAAATTAAAATCAAGTTGTACACTTTGTGACAAAAACAAAAGAGGAGAATCATCCGATAAACAATCATTGATCGGTAGTGGTACAATCTCTTTGTGTATTTAAAGCAACAATACACAAATTCTCGATACTCCTTGTCCTGGAAAATTATATGCGAGTGCACGCAACAACAGCAGTTCTCCCGCCAGAGTGCAGGCCTATATATACATACAAGCACCCGTTAAATCTAGCGTAAAAAGCCAAGTCTGTCTTTTTGTCCCAAGCGCCGCTGCAGCGCGGCATCTCTTCGTCATTACCGGGTAAAAAAAAAAAAAAAAAAGCCCCAGTCCCATCAGCTAGTTTCCCTCTAATTTTTTACCGAGAGTAAATTTAACGATCCCTCAAAGGTCCGCCCCCGCCGATACTCGCTCTCGCGATGCCGACTCTCCCGGGCCCTCGTCACCGCATGCTCCCGATGGCCGTTGGCGTGACGAGCCACCACGTGCGCGTCCCCACGTTGGGCAACGGCAGCATCCTCGCGGTCCTCGTCGTCCGTCACTCGCGATCCCGTCTCTCGCGAGGGCAACACTCGTCGCTACCCGAGAAAGCTCAACACGAGCCGACGCCGAGATAGATCGGCACGACGCGATATGCGTCCAATTAGCGGTGGCCGGGCCTCTCGCCGGCACTCGGATTAGCGCGGCTATAGAGCCCCACCGATGCATCCATAAAAGCTCTCCTCGAGCGCGCGCATCATGGACACCAGCGTACACGATTAAGCTTAATTAATGTCAGCGGAGTATGGTGTTTTGTAACGATTTCACGATTTATTTATTTATTTTGTTTTTTTGTTTTTTTGGTTGCAGGTGCGGCGTAGCGTCGTCAGCGAGCTGGACAGAGGCACATCACCGGCATCACAAGGCTCGCGGAGCAGCAACAGCAGCAGTGTCAAACGGTCGCGCTGAACGAGCTCTATTCGATTACTCCTCGATCCCATCGCAGCCCGGTTGCAACAACGGGACGAGCACCGACAGCCACAGCTGTAAATACGCCCAGGATCGCCACGACCCGGGACTCTGACTATACCCTCCGACGAGCCGCTCCTCCTCCACCTCCTCGTCCATAACTACATCTGTACACACGCATATTACACGAAAGCCATCATCGATACCCCATACCTGCTGTACATTCATACGTTTATATACCAAGACCTTCCTCCCCCCCCCCCTCCCAACTCAATGATAGTCCGAGTGCTATCTAAAGTGTTGCACGAGTTATCCGAGTCTTTGTATGATTTTTCATTGTTTTCGTTGTTGCCCAGTGCGGTGAGAGGAATCATTGTAATATTGTAAGAGGAAGATTTCGTTCGAGAAGCCGGAAAGTTTTTTTGTTCAAATGAAGGAGCCCAGTGTGATATAAATATATATGTGTATAAAAAGAAGAAAAAAAAATTAATTGATCATTGTTGGGTGATCCGCCGCAACGCAGTGTGATAGGCATATACATATATAAATATCGAGTATAAATACATATGTATGTATATTTGAAACAAAAGAAAAAGAAGAAGGAGGAGCAAGTGAAGCACGTAAATTAGTTGATTTGAAAGAAACAGCCACAAGACGTGAAGTTTTAATAATATACGTAACACAGGTGTATCGTGTCGTGTCCATGAGATGAGAATACAAATAATAATATTAATCTGAGTGGTGATAACGTTTGTAACAAAGAAAAAAAAAAAAAAAAAAAAAAAAGTTCGCAGAGTGTCCGAGAGTGTGTGAAAGCCCGCGCGTGGATAAAGTAATAATAATAAATAATAGTTGTAATGATAAAAATAATAATAATAATAATATAGTCAAACCGAGAGGATAAAGAGTACAAAATTATAACAAGAAACCTACGAGTGAGTAGCGGAAGGAGATTGTAATTACATCGGCGAGAACTGTAGCCAAGAAAAAAAAAAAAAAAAAAGAAAGGGACAACAAAGGAATAGAAGGAGGGGGGTGGTGGAAATAAAAAAGGTCGAGGCTGGATAATTTATCCAGAGTTTTTCCACCGCGACCAGTTAACGATAAAGCCTAAAACTGTTAGACGACGAGTGCGCGAGTGACTGGCCGCAGCAGCCACACGCCCATAGCCATAGCATGAGTTCGTACTTTGCGAATTCGTACATCCCGGATCTGCGCAATGGCGGGGTCGAGCATCCGCACCAGCACCAGCAGCACTACGGGGCGGCCGTCCAAGTGCCCCAGCAGCAGCAGCCGGTGCCACAGCAGCCCCAACAGGCCAGCGATCCGTGCGACCCTGCCCTCCAGCTGCGCCAAGGCGGCGTGCCCGGCCACCACTATGGGAGCGCCGCGACGGGCCAACAGCCGGGCATGCCCTATCCCCGCTTCCCACCCTACGATCGCATGGACATTCGCAACGCGGCCTATTACCAGCAGCAGCAGGAACACGGGATGGACATGGCCGGGTACAGGGCGAGCTCGCCGACCGCGGGCATGGTGGGCCACATGGGCCACACCCCGACCCCGGTGGTCAACGGCCACCCGAGCACGCCCATCGTATACGCCTCGTGCAAGCTCCAGGCCGCCGCGGTCGACCACCAGGGCAGCGTCCTCGACGGGCCCGACAGCCCGCCCCTCGTCGACCAAACCCAGATGCACCACCAGATGCACCCCCAGCATCCGCACATGCAGGCCCAACAGCCCCCGCCGCCCCATCCCCAGCAGCAACCCCCGCAGGCTCAACAGCCCCATCAGCAGCAGCACATGCAGCAAACGCAGCAGCACATGATGTACCAGCAGCAGCAACAACAGCAACAAACGCCGAGCACGCAGGCACAGCAACAGGCGGCGGTTGCGGCAGCGGCGGCGGCGGCGGCGATGCACCAGCAGCAGGCCCAGCCGCAGCAGCATCAGGGCGTCGTTGCGTCGCCCCTGGGGCAACAGCAGCCGCCCGGCACGCCGCAGAACAACGCGGCCAACAACTTGCCTAGTCCGCTTTACCCCTGGATGAGGAGTCAGTTCGGTGAGTCCAGTTGATTTAACATAATATGATTGCTGTAACTATGTTATATAGAAACGGGGTTTTACATGACCTGCAAAACAGTGAGGGGGTAGTGTTTTTTCACCCCCATTCGACAAGTCATGCTTGACTAATAGGCTTCTTACCTTATCATCTTTTTGAACTGTGGGAGAGTAATCGTTTTGACAGGACAGGAATATACATTATGTCGATTCCCCGTCGCATTTAATTAGTACGATTAAATTTCATCCTTACTTTAACGTTTTCCAGTGGAAAAATTTCTAATGAAAAAGAGGCTTGTTGTGGCTTATTTTTATGATAAATTATTAATTCGATTGACTGTCCAATTTCTTTAAATTTCAAATTGTTAATTTGTAATTTCATTGCACGAACGTTACAAAAAAAAAAAAAAAAAAAAAAAAAATGGGGACCCCGATTTTCGGGATTTTCGAAAAGAAGGCACATGTCGTGTACGCTTTCGGCCGAGCGCTCGAATTACAACTTACGAGCCACGATTCCCGGCTGCCTCTTGGCTTGTTATTAAAAAGAAAAGCACCGGATCCTCGCCGCATGACGGCTTAAACGCTCGAATTATCGAATATTACACCGATGCCCTCGATACGCGTCGAACGCAGAGACAGCAGCGAACAAGGAAAGGAAAAAAAAAAAAAAAAAAAAAAGAAAAAAGAAAAAAGAG